CAGGATTGTTACATAGGTACACACATGGCCAGGTGGTTTGCTGCCTTCATCCTGCCATCACCCACATCTGGCATTTCTCCCCTCGCTATCCCTCCACACCCTCCCCACTTCCCACTGTCCCTCCACTGAGGACAGTTTGAGGGGTGCTAAGCCAAGATCTTCTAACAACAACTGGTTCTATCAGTCAATGTCACTTATTGAAAAGGACTGGAATCAGAGACTGGCCTTTAAATTGTACCACGGTTCATTTCTAGCTAAATCACTATACTAAGAATACTCATTGCACGATATTGCTACTTAGCGTTGTTTCGTATTCGTCACTTTTGTGAAGTAAGCTTTTTACAATAGTCTTCAGATTTAAAACAGTTTGTTAGTGTTCAGGCTAATATCCGTATTCATTTCTGCATAAATGTAAAAAATGACAGACATGACTATAATACTGGTTAGACCTCACTCTAATACCAGATTGTCAGTGTTCCTGTGTTAGTTTTTAAGCGTACATGACAGACTATTATTCTAACCATACTTTAATTTTTCTCCAATGTCTGATTTCATGCAGTTTTTCTCTAGTCTCAATTTCAATAATTATTTTCAAAAGTGCCTGAGAAGATTTTTAGAAATTGTTAAAGATAATCAGTTAAAATGGAAAATCGTTTGTTTCTCATTCCATTACTGATTTCCTTAGATATATTAATGGGGACTAATGGTAAACTTAACAATTAAGAATAGCAATATGTTTAGGACATTAAATCACGATTTCCAAATATACTCAAATATTATACATATTTGTAGTCCCATCATTTTAAAAGTCATGTTTATTGGGGTATACTTTAAACTCAATAAAGGTCAACAATTTTAAGTGTGTCGTGGAATAACTTTGACGAATATATGCAGTCATGGGACCATCACCAAAATAAAGAAATAGAAGATTTCCATCAGCATAAAAAATTATGTTGTGCTTTTATGAAGTTAGTCCTTTCTTACCACTAGTTACACACCGGCCAGCACTGATGTTTTCTACTCTTATAATTTTGCCTTTTCCGCTATCTAGAGATCAAATTGATGTTTATAATGCTGTCTTCCGTGTCCGGCATCTTTTATGTGATCTTGAAAAGCATTTATATTGTTGCATGTATCCGTGTCAGCAATTTAAGTGTCTGGGTAGTATCTCATTGTATGGATTTACTCAATTTGTTTATCTATTCACCTACTGAACATATGTGTTATTGCTAGTTTTGGGACAGTATTAACAAAGCTACTATACATATTTGTGTATAGATCATTTTGTAGGAAAATATGTTATTATTTCCCTTGGGAAACTGTTTATCGAGTGGTGGGTCATATGGTAAGTGTATACTGAATTTCACAAAAATAAACCAATGCATTTGTTAAAAAAAAACAGCTGTACCATTTTGCATCCCCAGTTCTTACACACCCCTGCCAGCATGTGCTACTCTCGGAATTTTGATTTTAGCCATTCTACTGTCTGTGTAGTGGTATTGTCCTTTGATCCTAATGCCATTTCACTTATGACTAAAGATGTCCAGCGTATTTTCATGTGGAAAATCCCTTCATAGATCTTCTTTGGTGAAGTAGCAACTCGAATATTTTGCAACCTCTATCAGATTGTTTGACTTATTGTTGACTTACAGGAGTTTTTAACTATATAATAGATAAAACCTCTGTGTCAGGTATGTATTTTGAAAATATTTTTTCCTAGTCTCTGGTTCATCTTATTTTCTTAACTGTTTTTGATGAGTAGTACTGTTTAATTCTGAAGCTAGCCAAATTAGGAATGACACATCTAACAAACCTTTGCTTACCATATTTCACTAATAATTTCCCCCATGTTTACTTTTAGGCAATTTACAGTTTTATCTTGTAACTTCAAATATGTAACCCATTTTAAGATAATTTTAGTATGATATGAGATAAAGGTCAGGGTATTTTTTTCTGTTTTTTTTTTTTTTTTTTTTTTTTTTTGCATGTAGCCATCTGATTTTCTAACTAAATGGAAATGTTTACATATTGCAACATTTGTGGAAAAGGTTATCATTTTCCCTTTGAATTCAGTTGGTATGTTTATAAAAAATCAGTTGACCCTATACAGATGTGCCTGTTTCTGGTACTTCTATTCTATTATTCCATATGTGTATTCTTAGCCAACACTCTCTTTAATGCTGTAGCTTTCTAGTAATTATTGAAATCATGTAAGTCACCAAACCTCATTCCTTTTTTTTGGAGACAGAGTTTTGCTCTGTCGCCCAGGCTAAAGTGCAATGGCATAATCTCTGCTCACTGCCACTTCAGCCTCCTGGGTTCAAGTGATTCCCGTGCCTAAGTCTCCCTAGTACCTGTGATTACAGGCATGTGCTATCACGCCTCGCTAATTTTTGTATTTTCAGTAGAGACAGGGTTTCACCATGTTGGCCAGGCTGGTCTCGAACTCCTGACCTTAAGTGATCCACCCTACTTGGCTTCCAAAATTACAGTTGTGAGCCACTGTGCCCAGGCTTCATTCTTCTTTATCAAAATACTTTTGGCTATATTACTTTCCTTAATATTTCATATTTCACATAAAATTTTGAAGTCATCTCATTTACTTTCTATATTAAAGAAGCATTCAGTGATTTTAATCAGTATTACATTAAATCTATTGATACATTTGAGGCAAGTTGACATCTTAACAATATTGATTCTTCTGATCCTTAGAACAGAGGACAGCTCATAATTTATCTAGTACTTTAATTTCTCTCAGCAATATTTAATAATGTTTAGAAGTCTTGTGGATATTTTGTTAAATATATTCCTAAATATTTTCTGGGTTTGACGCTATTATAATTAGTATGTTTTATTTTCTATTTTCAGAACTGCTTTAGGATTCTGAATCCTATAGGAACATAATTAAGCTTTGTTTATTAAATTTGTTTTTTGGGACCTTGTTAAACATACTTAGAAGTTTTAGCAGGTTATTCCTAGAAATTCCTTTGGGAGTTCTTCATAAATTATCATGTTTTCTGACAATATATAGATCTTTATTTTGTTTCTAAACTACACACCCATTATTTCTTATAATTTAATATTTCTTACCTTACAGCACTGGCTAAGTCTAGTAGTACAATGTTGAATAGAGGTAATGAGGGCAGCCATTCTTGCCTTGTTCACATTCTGAGGTGAAAATATTCAGCCTTTTTCCTGAAATGTAATGTTAGATATTGGTTCTTTATAGAAGACTTTCATCAGTATGGGGAGGTTATCTCCATTCCTAGTTTGCAAAAACTGAATATCATAAATTGGTGTTGGATTTTGCAAAATAGTTTTTTTTGCTCCCATTAAGATTTTAAAAAATTCTTGATCAACTTGTTTTATCTTATGGTTTATTATATTAATTGACATTTGGATGTTGAAACTAACTTTCATTCATGGCATATGTCCAATATGGTCATGGTGTATTATTGTTTTACATATGGCTTTTTATTTCCTAATATGGCAATTTTTATGTACGTGATACTTATTAATACTTTTTTTGCAAACACTTTGTTTTCCTCTGGTATCAGGGTAATTGAAGAACTCCTAAAACGTGTAAGAAAGATTCTTCCTCTTTTTACATGTTTTTGGAGGAGTTTGTGTGAGGTTGGTACTATTCCTTCCTTTAGCATTTGGTAGACCTCATCTTGGCCAAGACACTTGTCAGAGGATTTTAACTAAGAAAGTAATTTCTGTACAGGATATAAAGCTTTATATTCCTTTTTGAGTAAGGTTTGATGATTTGTGTTTTTCATGTATCTGTTCATTTCATCAAAATCATCAAGTTTACTAGCAAAGAGGTGATCATAATATTCACTTGTCCTTGTAATGTCTGTAGCACAGGTAGTCAGCTGCCTCCTTCATTCCTCTCACAGTTACTGAGAGAGGAGATTGACGTTCCCATCTATAATTGTAGATTTTTCTGTTTCTCTTCTTCGTTCTATCAGCTTTTATTTGTATATTTTGAATTTTGAATTTTGCTGCACTCATATTTAGAATGTTATGTCTTGTTGTTAAATTGATGTCCATACATGTGGAATTGCCCTTTTCATCCCTGGTAATATTTCTCATTCTGATATGTAGCTTGTCTGATAGTAACAGAGTCTCTGCAAATTTATTTTGCTTAGCATTTGCATAATATAACTTTTTCCTCCCTTTTACTTTTAACTCATGTATACCTTTCTATTTAAAGTATATTTCATACAGAAAAATATAGTTGGGCATTGCTTCTATATCAATATTATGTCTTGTCCTTTAGATAGGGCATTTAGACCTTTTATATTAATGTACTTCTTCACGATGGTTGAGAATTGATCCTCCATCTTGCTATTCATTTTCTACTTTCTCTAAATGTAATTTATTCCTTTTGCCCTTTATTCTGCCTCAATTTGAATTAATTAAATATATTTTAAGATTCATTTTTATTTATTGGCTTGATAGAATTTTGTTTTATTAATTTTCAATTGTTTATATCTATGGCTTATATACATTTTTAAATGATCACAGTCACATATAAAAAAATACCTCTTCACATAAATTGTAAGAAACTTCCCAATATATGGTTTCCTTTCATCCCCTACTTCCTTGTTTTTGTCATACATTTGAATTTTACATATTGTAAATCCTGTAAAGCCTTATTATTAATCTTTAGACATTTATTTTTCTGTTAAAGATAAAATTATAAATAAGAAAAAAGTTCATTCATATTTGCTTGCATTTTTCTTATTTCTGCTGCTCTTTATTTCTATTTTTCCATCTTACATTATACCCTTTCTTATGGACTTCATTGAAATATTTTTAGTTTAGATATGCTGGCCACAATGTCAGTTATGTTTTGATTTTCTGAAAGAAAACTCTTTGCTTTCACTTTTAGAGGATATTTTTACATGTATAAAATTGTAGGTTTTCAGGTTTTTCATTTGGCACTTTAAACACGTGACTCTATTTTCATCTGATTTGGGTATGTTCTGATGACAGCCTGTCGTCCTCTCGTCTTTGTCTGTCTGTGTATACTTTTTTATTCTCTGATCCCTGGATGCCTTCAAAATGTTTCTCGTCTTTGATTTCTAACAGTCTCAGTATGATACATTCAGAGTTCTCTTTAATCCTGCTAGGGGTTACTCGAGTTTCGGATCCGTGGTGGGTTTCCTTTCATTGCATTTGTCTATTTCTTGGTCATTACATCTTCAATATTTCTTTCGTCCCATTTTCTCTTCTCCTTTTGAAATTCCAATTACATGCATATAAGACCTTTCGACAGGGCTCTTGGATTTTTGTTCCATTTTATTCCTTCTTCTTTCTCTTTGGGTTTCAATTTGAAACATTTCTATTGACCTGTCTTCACGTTCCTCCATTTTTCCCTCTAGGCACATGAATTTTGTGTTTAACTTCCTGGCATCCCTGTCAAAGGAATTCTTTATCTCTGGCATTGTCTTTTTTTCTTAGCATATCCAGTGGACACATTTTCATAGCCTTTCTCTCAGTGCTCAGAGTTCCTGTTTGTTCATAATTAGTCCCCCACAGTAGAGTGCTGTTGTTTGTTACTCAATGCCAGGCTCCTGGGGAAGTCTTTTCGGGGAGGAGGAAGGTGGCATTTTGCGGTCCCTCCTTAGTCCTTGTCAGGCCTTGTGCATCTGCACTTCAGAGGTGGGGCTTTCTCATCATCCTCCCTCCCTGACGCGGTGCCAGTCTCTGCTGCATGTCAGTGGGGCTGCTTGAGCACAAGTGTCTTTTTTTGTCCCTGTCCAGTGTCAGCTGAGCTCTCCTTTGCTTCAGAGCAGGGTTGTGTCCATGAGTGTGTTTTCCCTACACCTCTCATTAGCAGATCAGTGTTACATTATGAATGACAGATGGAGATGTGCAGGTTTCCCACCCTCCCCCGAAGCTCCTGGCCTTGGACTGAGACTAGATGGCAGCAGCATTTCCTGGCTTTCCCCAAGTGGCACATGGCATTTGCTTCGTAGGAGAGAAGAGTTCACAGTGTTGACAGTTCTGTGCCTGCGTCTCCTGCAGTAACTGTTCACCATCTGTATGTCTGGGATGGCTCTGGGCTTCAGTCTTCCCTGTAAGTATCCAGTGGTAGCTGGAGCTGGCAAATGGTTGCAAAAGGTTTATGGTAGGTGTAAAGGAGCTGGCAAAGGGTTGCTGACTCATTCAGGAGCACACTCTTCCTTCAACTATTTGTTAAAGACGTTTTTTGGTTTTTTTTTTTGCCTGGTATCATGTTTGATGCTACCCTTCCTCTCCTGCTCCAAAAGAGGAAACAATTTATGTGCCCCTCTGCCTTCTGAGGGGCTTGTCACATACTGGAATTCAGTTCACTTGACTGCTTTGGCCCTCTGATAGGCTGAACCAGTATAATTTTATAGTTTATCTGGCTGCTCCTCATTGTTAGAGTGGGAGCAATGTTTTACTGCAGTTTTCTACATTTAAAGTGAAAGTGAAACCGTGCGATCCCACTTTTAGAGTGTATAAGCACAAGAATGCCTAAATAGCACTGTTCTAAGGAAATTGACTTACATTAAAAGTGATGACTTTGTTACAGTTCCACATTTTTTGTCTCTTCAGAATAAATCAGGCAGAAGAATTGTTTTCTTCAACACACCTCAAGTTAAATGTCTTTTGAGCTGAATATGACTTTTAAAATTTTCCTTAGGTTTGGTTTATTACATATCTGGAGTTTTTGATTTTTAAATCTGTTCTCTTAACTTCTCTGCTGGTTTCTTTCTGTGTAAATTTCAATTTTTCACCACCCGTTCACATCAGTATATTACTGTATATCTTCTAATTGTATTAAATTGAATCCTGGTACGTTGTAGCATGTGCAAACTATTGTAGATGAATTCTAGCTTCTCATGGAAACAGACTCAAAGTAAATGTAAAGAGACATAATGTATTATGTTCTACTTAAGCCTCCTGATTGATTTTGAAAAGTTTGTGGGCATGAGATCCAATGATGATTTTCATTGCTAGTGCCGTATGTTAAAAATGGTATAGAAATGTCCATTTTGGAAAAAGCACACAAAAATTAATTGACTGGGCTCAGTGGTCCCCACATTTTGTCCCAGCTACTTGGGAGGGTGAGAAATTGGGAAGCTGAGATGGGAGGATTGTTGGAGCCCAGGAGTTCTAAGGACAGTCTGGGCAACATAGTGAGATCCTGTTTCTAAAAAAACAAAACACTAATATTTCTATACTATAAATTAATACTTGGCAACTAAAATAAGATAAAAAGTAAAAGTTACTGTGTAACATCAAAGGGAGAAATGGAGTAAACCAATGTTGTTAGATTCAAAGGCAATGTATATGTTATGTCACATACAATGCAAAGATGCATGGAGTTTCGTGATGAAATGCATAATAATTAATTTAACAATATATTTTCAAAATTTACTACTGGATTTGCAATTTCTTGGTAACAAGAAGCATTGGAATTTGCAACTTGCAGGGGCAATTTTTTGTGTTTTTCTTAATTTTGTAAAGGAGGTGAGAATTTTTAAAAATAAAGTGGCATCTTGTCATTCTGACTCTAACTTTGTGTGTCTTTAGTATTTAGTCACACCTAAATTGGTGTCAGCTAAAGGTCATTTGTAAGCTCATAATTCTTGACTGTTTTTTTCATTTTCTTCCATTAGCACACCATTAGAAACATAATTTATAAATGCATTCACTGGTACTTTTAAATAATACATGAATATCCAACAATAGTACTTGAATATTTAGGAGTTGAGCTATATTTTAAACTTCTTTTTTTTTTAATTGCATTTTCGATTTTGGGGTACATGTGAAGAACATGCAAGATAGTTGCATAGGTACACACATGGCAGTGTGGTTTGCTGCCTTTCTCCCCATCACCTATATCTGGCATTTCTCCCCATGCTATCTCTCCCCAACTCCCCACTCCCCACTGTCCCTTCCCTATTTCCCCCCAACAGACCCCAGTGTGTGATGCTCCCCTCCCTGTGTCCATGTGTTCTCATTGTTCAACACCCACCTATGAGTGAGAACATGCAGTGTTTGATTTTCTGTTCTCGTGTCAGTTTGCTGAGAATGATGGTTTCGAGGTTCATCCATGTCCCTACAAAGGATACGAACTCGTTTTTGATGGCTGCATAATATTCCATGGTGTATATGTGCCACATTTAAACTTCTTTTTTTAAAAAAAATTTTCTGGTATAGTACGTTCTTTCCTGTTTCTTAGACAAGTGTTTATAAACTTATTTACAAAAATATAGCACAGAATATTAGGATATATCTGGGAAGTTTTACAAAAGCAATCATGTATTTTATTTTTAAAATTTTTACTTTCATTTTTTTCAGGGAGTGTGGATGTGAAAAACAACCAGGATGATTTGATTAATACTATTTTTAAAATAAGTATCACTCACAGAGAAAATAATTGTGAATATTAATTTAATTTTCTTATATATTTGCATGGAAGTGTTCTAATTTCTAATATGGAAATTATTGTTTTAGATAATAAAGTAAATATTTGCCAGATACATGAATTAAAACAATTTAGGCAATTCAACATTATGTGAGATTTAATTAAACACAAAGGTCTCTGAACAATATCTCATTTGGGTCATGATGATTTATAAAAACAATATCATATTTGATAAATCATGTAAACTTGAATTATTAGTGACACAGCTCTTTGGATAAACATTTGAATCATAAAACTAACAGAAGCTTGTAAACTGATGCTATTGAAACAGATATGCTGTTTATGGTTCTCATAATCTCAACTCTATTTTACTTCCATGTACAAAAAGTGACCATCACTCCTTCTTCTACAATCAATGTATTCTCTACCCTGACGGAAACTTTGCATGCAAGCAAGAACATACTTGAAAACATCCTACTGTTGAGCACTTGAAGACACTTTTCTGAACTCTCTTCTTATGCTAAAGAGGATATCATTTTGAAACAGTTTGGTTTTCTGTTTGGGTGTATCATTAGCTTCGACATTACTCCTTAACATTTATAATACGGCAATCCTTTTCATATCAGCTATTAATTAGACCAATTTTCTTTCCTTGTTTTAAAAGTAGATATTGAAATGCATTTAAGTTAACAAAAATGTGCAAAAATAGTACAGTGGTTTCTCATATACTATTAACAATATGTTCCATTTTCAGTTGCTCTGTGTCCTCTCCAGCAAATTGGTTCGGCAATTTCTTCTTTTTTAATTTGTTTTGCTTTTTGTTTTTAGATCAAACATTCTCATCAATGCTTAATAATATTTTATTTTGATTTTGATTTGCATATCCTTAGTGACTAATGATATGGGACAACATTTTATATTATTGGTTACAATTAATGCATCTTATTTGGTTAAATGTAAGTTTTTAAATTGGGTTGTTTGGTTTTCAGTTGTTGAGTTTTGAGAGTTTTTTATACATTTTAGATATAAATTCTACATTGGAGATGTGATTTGCAAATGTTTTCTTAGTCTGTGGCTAGTTCACTCCTGCTATCATGTCTCTTTTGCAAAACCAGCACTTTCAATTTTGTTAAAAAACAGCGAATAAGTTGCTTTTAATGTTATGCTAAGCGCTTATGTAGTCATATTTAAAACCCCCTTCCCTTGCCTATGGTCATCAGTATTTCTCCTGTGTTTTCTTCTAAACATTTTGTAGTTTTGTGTTCTACATTTAGGCTTATAATTCATCTAAAAATCGTATTAATATGAGGCACAAATTAAGGGGCTTTGTTCGTTTGCTTGTTTTCTGTTTTTTTGGGGCTTCTTGACTTCTAATTTTCTAGCATTACTTTTTGAAAGAGTTATTACTTCACCATGGAACTGTCTTTGGGCATTTGTAAAAATCAATTGACTATTTCTGTAGCTTTCTTTGTGGACTCTCTGTTCTGTCTAATGAATCTAAATCCTATTCTTTCCTCAATATCATACTGTCTTCATCATTGCAACATTCAGATAGCTTTAAATCTGATGATAGACGTTCTCAAAATTGTTTGGGGTCTTGTTTTTTTTTTTATATATATACACAGAGATCTTAGAATTTGCTTGTTGATATGTTCAAGTCAGGCTGCTGAGATTTTTCTTGTATTGCATTGAAGGTCATATATCTCAATTGACGTTGAAGACAATTTAGTCTTTCAATTCATGGACACTTAGTATCTAGCTCCATTTATTTAGGTTTAAATTTTTTTTCTATAGTTTTAGTTTTTACAATATAAATGCTGCTCATATTTATTATTTCAAGTATTTAATTTTTAAAGTTATTTTAAATAGCTGTTTTAAAATTCAAATTTCTGTGATTCATTACCAGTTTCTAGCAATTTCTTTTTGGATACTGACCATGCATCCTACATCTTTAAAAAACGTAGTCTTCTTTTGTAGCAATTCCACTGAATTTGAAATAGGCAATCATGATCTAGAAACAGAAACATTTTTAATTTCCCCTTTCTACTTTATGTGTGCCTTTTATTTACTTATTTTTTACTTGTCTTAGGGAACTGGTTATGATTCGCAGTCTGTTCAACAGGAATGGTAAGATTAGTAGCCTTGTGTTGTTTCCGCCTTAGGAAACAGTCTTTCACCATGAGTGTGATGTTAACAATAGTTTTTGGAGATGCCTGTCAGATTAAGGAAGTTTCCTTCTAACCTTTGCTGAAATTTTGTTTTTTAGTATTAAAGGAGAAAAAATTTTGTCCAATGCATTCCCTTACTACGGTGAATTTCATTGGTTGTTTGGTCCAATGCATTCCCTTACTATGGTGAATTTCATTGGTTGTTTTGTCCAATGCATTCCCTTACTACGGTGAATTTCATCAGTTGTTTTGTCCAATGCATTCCCTTACTATGGTGAATTTCATCAGTTGTTTTGTCCAATGCATTCCCTTACTATGGTGAATTTCATCAGTTGTTTTGTCCAATGCATTCCCTTACTATGGTGAATTTCATCAGTTGTTTTGTCCAATGCATTCCCTTACTACGGTGAATTTCATCAGTTGTTTTGTCCAATGCATTCCCTTACTATGGTGAATTTCATCAGTTGTTTTGTCCAATGCATTCCCTTACTACGGTGAATTTCATCAGTTGTTTTGTCCAATGCATTCCCTTACTATGGTGAATTTCATCAGTTGTTTTGTCCAATGCATTCCCTTACTACGGTGAATTTCATCAGTTGTTTTGTCCAATGCATTCCCTTACTATGGTGAATTTCATCAGTTGTTTTGTCCAATGCATTCCCTTACTACGGTGAATTTCATCAGTTGTTTTTTAAAATGTTAGTTAAGCCTCGCATACCTGGGATAAATGCAGTTGGTTATGATTAATCCTTATAAGTTGTTGAATTCAATTGCTAACATTTTGTTGAATTTTTGTGTGTCTGTATTTATGAGTGTTACTGGTTTGTAGTAATCTTTCCTTATAATGTATTTCCTTTTAGTTTTGCTAAAAAATGGCTTGGGAAGTTTTCTCTCCCTTCCTACACGTTGATAGAAATTGTGTACATTTGGTTTTAAAATATTTGAGAGAATTAAACAGTGAAACAATCTGGGTCTAGGGCTTTCATTATTGGAATGTTCTGAGGCATACTTTGTAATTCCTTAGAATATACAGGGCAGTTAATGTAATCTATTTCTTTTTGAGTGAGACTTGGTCATTTGCCTTTGACCTATTAAAATTATTTTGTTATTCTTTTGATATCTATGGTGTCTGTAGTTATGTTTCCACTTTTATTTTTGATAATGGTAATTTGTATCTAGCTTTATTTCATGGTCAATCTGGTTAGTTTTCCCAATTTATACATAATTTCAGACTCAGCTTTTGCTTACATTCTTTTTTATTGTTTTTCTGTTTTCCTTTTATTAATTTTTTGTTACTTTTATTATTTCCTTATTTTCTACTTGCTTTCGATTTGATGTACCTTTTTGTTTTTCGTGTCATGGAGGAGAAGTACAGATGACTTATTGGAGGCCTCTGTGTCTAATGTAAGCAATTAAAGCTACACATTTCTCTTTAAGGACTACTTAGCTATACATCACAAATTTCAATGTGTTGTGTTCAGTTGTTTAGTTGAAAATACTTCAAAATTTTGCTCCATACTTCCTTTTTAATTTAAGTTTCACTTAGAAGTATGCAATTATGTTTTACTTTAATCCCCGGCTATTTGGGGATTTTTTTTGTCAACTCTTGTTATTAATTTTTAGTTTAATTTTCTGATGATCCAAGAAGACACTTTATATTGTTTCTAGACTTTTAAATTTTCTGGGGGTTGTTTTATGACTCTACATAGAGTGGATCTTTGTGAATGCTCCATGTATTCTTAAAAAGTATGTGCATTCTATTGTTTTGGGGTAGTGAGTTCTGTAAGTGTCATTAGGTTAATTTTGATGACAGTATTTTTTTCTTTTCTATAATACTGAGTTTTTTATTCTATTGATTACTGAGAGAGGAGTATTTAAATCTCCAACTATAATTGAAGGTTTGCCTATTTCTTTTATTTTCTTTTCCTTTTTTGAGACAAAGTCTCACTCTGTCATCCAGGCTGGAGTACAGGAGTTCAATACTGCTCACTGCAGCCTTGACCACTGGGCTCAGTGATCCTCTCACCTCTGCCTCCCAGGTAGCTGGGACTACAGGTGCATGCCACCATCACTGGTTAATTTTTTTTATTTTTTGTGGAGATGAGGTTTTATCATGTTGCCCAGTATAGTCACCAAATCCTGGACTCAAGAAATCTACTCACTCAAGCCTCCCAAAATGCTAGGATTACAGGAGTGAGCCAGTACACCAGGCCTTGCTTATTTCTTTAATTAATTTTTTTGATGAATCATGACACTTTGTTTTTAGGTGCATACGCATTCAGGATTATGATGAATTCTAGATTTTTAAAATTGTGTAATGGTGATTTTTTCCTGACAATATTTCTTGTTCTGATGTCTACTTAAAGCTGCATTTATGAGGTTAGTATTTGCATGATATGCTTTTTCCCAGCCTTTTAATTGTAGCCTATGTCTTTACATTTAAAGTAAGTTTTTTTTAGACACATGGGTATTGCTTTTTAATCCAATTGGACAATCTTTATGTATTAGCTGTGTTTAAATTATCAAATGAATATTGATATATTTCTTTTAAGATATATTACCTTGCTTACTGTTATTTTCTATATTCTTTGTTTTGTTTTGATATTTCTGTCTTATTTTGATTCAATGGATCATCTTTTATAATTACTTTTTCTTCTATATTAACTTTTTTTGTATACCTTTTTTGTAAAATGTAACTCATGATTGCCTTGAGGTTGATAATATACATTTTTAACTAATAAAACTCTACATTCAAGTTGTATTTTACTATTTCATATCTAATGTGTTGACCTTACCTCACCATATAGTTTTCTCTCATCCTTTGTGTTATGATTGTCTTATATTTTAGTTTTAAATCTGTTTTAAATGCACAATGTGTAATGATAGCTATGTATTTAGTCTGGATAGCAAAATACCATTTAGAACAAGTTAAAGTACAAAATCATTAATATTTTACAATAAAAAATTAACCTTTGTTTATTACATTTTCATCACTTTTTATTACTTTGCATACATCCTAAGTACAGTCTGGTATTATAGTCTTATTTGAAAACGTTCTTTTAATATGTTAGCAGTGTACATCTGCAGAAAATTAGTTATCTCAATTTTTGAATTCTGAGAAAGCCTACATTTTCCTTTATTGTTGAAGAACATTTTTGCTGAATATAAAATTATATGTTGACTTCTTTTTCTTTTACTACTTAAAAACTGTCACTCAATTACCTTCTGGATTGCATGGTTTATTTTAAGGAGTATGCTATAATTTGTTCCTCTTTATGTAGTGTGTCTCTTTTGTTGTTGTTGCATTCAGAAATTTTTCTTTGTGTTTTATTTTCAGAAACAACATAGTCATAAAATATAATGTTTCTGAATAGGACATTCCTGGGTGGAATATTATTTTGTTCATTTATTTCTTTGTTTTACATTTATTTGGTGTTTATCTTACTTTGTGTTCTCTGGTACTTGTGGATCTGTAGATCGATGCCCGCCATTAATTTTGATGCTTTCAGAGATAGATAGATTTGTATTAAGATATATTGCCTTGCTTACTGTTTTCTATTTCCTGTATTTTTTAGTTTTATATTTCTGTCTTCTTTTATTTCAATTATTATTTTCTATGTTACTTTTTTCTTCTGTATGAACTTCATTTTTAATCCTTTTAAAAAGTATATTTCATGATTTCCTTGAGGTTGTCAACATACATTTTTAACTAATAAAATTCTATCTTCAAATTATATTTTACTACTTCATATATAGTGTGTGGACTATCTATCTATCTATCTTTCTATTTTCTCTACTTTAAGATTCCAGTTAACCATTATTAAGTCATTCAATATTGTCCCACAATTTTTATATGCTATATACTTTTCTCTATCCTTTCTAACCTTTAAAATTTAGTTTGCATAATTTTATTGAACTATTTCAAGTTCACTGACATTTTTCTCATTTTTACTCATGCCATAAATTTATTTAATGTAATTGCTGCCCTAGCATCCATTCTGAGGCCTGACGTAAGTTACGTGAAATACACTCATAGGCCATCACCTTTGGCCTCGTTTAAACTTCCCATTCCTTTGCTTTCAATGTAGTCTACTTGTTCCTTATCTCACTGACCCAAAACCCAACACACCCCAAAGCTGCTGCCCATGATCAAACATAATGCTCAACACCTAGGTTAGATAAATTAATTTCCTCCTTCATTAGTGTTTTCTTTAGACTACTCAATTCCCAATTCTTGCAGGAAAGCCTAAGGGAAAACACCCATGGACCTTAGTAGAGCCACAGTCCCACAGGCCCTCTCTCTCTCTCTTGCTCTCACTCTTTCATTTTCTCTCTTTTCACTAACTGGCTGAGCTCTCTGCCACCTTCAGCCTTTCTACTGGTCTCCTGTTAGTACTTCCACCTCTGTGAGACCCAAGAGTAATAAATGTTGTCTGCTTCATGCATTTTTTATTTTACTTCCTCATTGTGTCTCATGTGACACACACTCTGAACCTACATCTCTCATCAGTGCTCTTAGAGAGTGCCTATCTTGGCTTATGGTTGTCTTCAAGAGACAGATCTCAAGACAAAATATTGCTATAGTTCCTAAGACCCTATAAAAATTACAACATTGGAGTCTACTTATGATCTTATTGAAGACATTCTTCCTTTATTTTACTGTTTTTCTCTCCAACATTTCTATTTAGTTTCTTCTAATAATATTCATATCTCTGCTGAAATTTTTCATCTGATCTTGCATTTTATCCACCTTTTCTGAAACTTTAAGACATTACATTTGGCTATTTTAAAGTACTTCTCAAATAGTTCCAACATTTATATTATTTGAGTCTGGCTCCATCGATTGCTTGGTCTTTTGGACTTTTTTGTTTGTTCATTTGCCTTTTTAACATTTTAATGACTCCCTTTCTTGTTACTGCTTTTAGAAGATGAACATTCCCATGTAGAAACAGATAAATATACTTTATTTTAAAAATGGGTGCCCTTTTTCTTCCACTATTACTTCAGGGTGTGGAATTTGGATTAATATATTGGAAATTTGCTGGAGTTCGAGAATTTTTACTGTTTCGTTTATTCTCATACCTCACAGGTGTCCAAACTAGAGAGCTATCATTTACTTTAGAAACTAAATGCAGGAACTGGGAGTACTCTTGGCTTGCCTCTCTTGTCATGGATACATTACAAGATGAACCTGGGCAAGAGTGATCAGGATCCCTGCAGCTTTAGCACTTGATGGCCTAGGTAGGACTTCCATTCCGTAAGCAGAAACTGGGCGAAAGAAGGGACTAAACTTTCCCAGGACTTAAACTTAACAATAGGATGTGGGGACAGGATAAGAGATGTTACTGTCCTGCTCTTCTTAGGAAGAAACCCCTTCATGTGGGTACTGGGAGAACAGGCAACCCTGTATTTTTGGATATAGCATTCTAGAGCGGAGTCTCTGCCTTGTGGGGCTGGGAGTGAGGAGCGATGAAGCTATCTTTGTTCACATTCCATAGTCTCTTATTTTTCTTACCAAAATCTGATAGACATTCTTGACTAGATATTGCCCTTAGGACCACTTCCAGAGACATTAAATGATTGTGTGTGTGTGTGTGTGTATGTGTGTACATGTGTGTTTTATGCTTTTTTACCAGCTTCACTCGGGAGTTAAGTCATTGTAGCTCCTTAACACTGTTATACCAGGGGTTGATACCCCTAGACTTTCTTCTTGGGCTGTCCATAATTCCTGGTAGGAGTATTTTGACTACTGTCAGAAAATTAGCATTCTGGGTGTTAACATTCTGGGATCTATGAGGAAGAAGACACAAAGGATTGTTGTCATCATTGAAAATTGTCGGCATTCCAAATGTAAACATTCATTAACTACCCTCCTTTCCATGTGACACTTTGGTCTCAACCGTCCCAACGACTCTCTATTTTGCTGTCACCCATATGCAGTGGTTTCTTAGTTGTGTGGGATTTGGGAAAGGTTTTGAACAAGTTCTTAAAAGCATTTTCAAAAAATTCAAATTTTATCTCTCAAATTCACTTTTAATTCCCAAGGCCCTTGAGCCCACTAATTTGTGTGTTTTTATGGAGGTAAGGAGTATTCATTTACACTGTGAATTAGGTGACTTTTAACTATGCCCAAGCCCAGCTTTTCTTTTACTTCCTGGTTCTGCTATTTCAGTTGCAACTCATAAACTTGTGTTCCAGGTTTCAAACTGGGTTCTTTCTGTTTTTATAAGTTGATGGTTAAAAAAATATATTTACTGTTATTTTAAAGGTTTTGGGAAATATATAAATAAATATGTGTTTTAAGCCCATAATCTTTAATATAAAATCTGCTGTTTATTTAACTGATATCACTGTGCTTATTTTCAAATTTAGTCAAATATAATAAACAAATATAAAACAGATATAAGGTTGTTAAAAACATTAAAACTGTATAAAAATATGATTTAAAAAAATATCTTTAAACTGCATGATTTTCTTAATGGGCATTCATATTTTGTTTATATAAATTAAACACTTTCTCTTTAGCTAAACATGGAACACAAATTAAAGGGCCAGTTTTTTAAAATATTGAAAATTTGAAAATACTTAAAATGTATTTCCATTTATTTGCTTCTTTTTTGGAATTTAACTCTAATTATTGGAAATTAGGACTGTTATACTATGCTGCAGATTCTGTTACTTTAATTATCATATCACATAAATAACTAATTTTGCTGTGTAAATTTTGGGCTGCTCACAGTGTGAGCTCTACCATATTTAATAGTCACAAGAAATAGATCAATACCCTGATTTCTGTAACTGTATATACATGACTCTATACTGGGAAATTAAATAAACAGAAAGCATTCCCCAAATTTTGGACAATAATTGAATCAAATACACCAAACCTTAAATCCAATCTTCAAAATAGATGAAACTCTTTCTCATTGCAAAAGAGAGGGAAATAATGAAACACCCACCCTTCTTCTCAGAAGGAATCCAGACACTAATGAGAAAATTCAATGGCACACACTTTATCAATAGTTTCAACATCTAATTTTTTTCATACAATAGTTTCAACATCTGTATTTTTTTTGGCAAGGGACAATTACCAGAAAATAATAGTTTTCAGACATTTTCAAAGGCTTTAGTTAATTAACTTAGACTTCTCCATTTGGAATTCAATTGTAGTCATTACAAATGGTGCCCACAACTCATGAAAAACAGATAGATTAAAAGATGAGCTATCTGGTCTAATAGAAAAACGGCTGGCACGTTACATATCTAGTCATTTTTTCATTCCTTTTGAACTACGAATATCACTGGAAAATCTTATAGGACACTGAAAATTCTCTTTCCATGTCTTCTAATATCATCATGGGAGTTATCATTTTCTTCTTTGGAATCATGTGGTTGCTTCATGGAAGACTCATCATCATCAGCTGAAATGTCCTACTCGAAGAAGACTTTCCGTAAGATCATGAACAAACATCTATAAAACAATAGCAGCACTTAGACCTTGCATTTCAAGGTCCACACCCAAACAGATTTATGAACACTAGGTGATATAATAAAAGAGACAGAGATGCCCAGAGATATACAGATTTTTGTCTTTTGTTTAATAAGAAAGGAATTGAAAGCCCAGGTAGTTAAGCTCACTTTCTGAAATCACTCTGCCTGTGTGTGAAAAGGTGTCCCAAATTATTACCTGGTTTTGTGTCCTTTCAACATACAGCTTTCAAAAGTCATATTCTGTGATTCTCAACAGATTATGACTCAGTGGTATGACTTGCCAAAAGTAGGACCAGGTGAACATATACTAAAAATGCTCCAATTAATAAAGTTAATTAGCTATAATGCTCTGGACCTTCAGAATTATAAAGCTAGAAAACTGCTTTTAAAAAAAATCTCATAAGCAGTTTCTGCTTTCTGATTCATAGATTGGCATTTTAGAGTCTTTTTGTTCTGGAAAGACTGAACTGAGTGCTCCCTTTTGGCTG